AAAGCCTTCCTCCTGCTCCAGGCATACATGTCCCGCATCGATCTCCCCATCTCCGATTACGTCGGTGATCAAACCTCCGTCCTCGACCAAGGTATCCGTATCATCCAAGCTTCGATCGACGTCATGGCTGAACTGGGCTACCTTCACGCCTGCCACATGTTCATGTCGCTCTTGCAGTGCATCAAATCAGCAAGATGGCCCGAAGACGCGCCCCTCTCTATCCTCCCCGGCGTCGACCCAGTAGAGAAGAAATCCGCGCTCCCCACCTCACTCACCGCACTCGTACTTCTCCCCTACAAAGCCACCGAATCTCTCACCAAGAAGCTCAACCTCCCCGCGCAGTTCACAAAAGCTGCATCCAACCTACCCAATCTATCGTTGTCTATCCCAACCATCACTCCAAACGGTCTCACCGTGACCTTGACACGCAAGAACGCCTTAAGAGACAGGGACTACAGGATCTACGCTCCTCGGTTCCCCAAACCCCAAACAGAGGGCTACTTCATGATCGTTTACAGTGGCGGCGCATCCTCCGATGGCAAAAATGGGGAGCTCCTGGCTCTGAAACGTGTTTCTTGGCCATCGTCATCGAATCAGCGTAACGGAGGTGGCTCCGGATCTGGGCCGAGTAGGAAGCCTAACGATAACAGGAACGGACCGCTTGTCGTTCGTTCGTCTGTTAAGTTCCCCGAGAACGTAAGGGGTCAGAGCATGCGGGTTACGGTCAAGGTCGTTAGTGATTCGTATCCGGGTATGGAGTGGACGGTGTCCGATGTGGAGGTGAATGCGGGGGTATCTGGGACGCAGACTTTGCCTGGGACTTCGACTTTCCCTGAGAAGAGTTGAGTTTGGTTCAGGTGGGATCAGAATTATGAAATAAATAGATAGATGTCAGTACATAGAGCTCAATAGATGCATGGATATATTCGAGTTCGAATGATAAGATAACAGACGAGATATATATAGGTAAACCCAATTTCTGACGTAGTTGGTAGAGGACATACTTCCAGTAGTAGTGTCCAAAATATATAAAAGAAACGAACCAAATGAAATTCCAGGAGAGTATTTCATGTCCTGACATACATCGCCAAGCAGACGAACCAAACATGAGAACCAGCGTAAGCTGTCACAAAGAGGATAAAAGAAATGCAACCTGAAAAAGAATCCAAAAACCAAATACCACCAACTCTGGTGCACCTAGCTGGATAATAACATCAAAATGGTGAATGCTACCTGCGCTGTTGTAATAAAAGACAAAACTGAAATGTTGATATAAGAAGCATAAAACAAGCACGTGATCATGAGCATACCGACTTCCCAAGACTAATCGCTTAGATGGTGTCGACCAGTACTTCCTGTGATCGTCCAGGGAGATGGTTGCGATCAGCTGCCATAACCTGGGGCGCTTTTCCCTTCTTATCACCGACGCGCTCATTGGGATCCAAACGGTCTGGCCGTGGCCTGATAGGTACAAGGACCTGCCTTTTACCTTTCGAGACGGAGACGGATCGTGCGATTGAGATTTCGACGGTGGGGACGGGGTTTTCTGGATCGGATGGGTTGCTGTCTTTTTTGGCGTCCCCGGAGGGCTCGCGTCTTGGTGAGATGGGGGAGGTTCGCCTGCTTGCAGGGGATGGGACCTCGTTTCTCTGCCGGGGCGCATTGACAGGCGTGTCTGATGATGCCGACAAGATTGAGGACGCATAGCTGGCCGTTCTGGGCGAATCTACCTGCGTATCGATCCTTAATGATGGAGGTGACTCGCGTACGGGTTCCTTTGCTGTAGGCTTCTTGTTGATGATTTCCCATTCTGGTTCCCTTGCGTCAAAGTATGAACGGACAGGACCTAGTTTCTGCAAGAGGAGCCGTTCATCCTCGGAACCAATGGTCGTGGAAGAAAGGAATGAAGACACCGAGTTCTGTTGCTTATGCGACGGCTGCGAGCTATGGACCATGAGGACCACACTACTCTTTTCCGACAGAGTTTCTTGATTTGATTCCCCTAGGGATGTTTGACTCTTGTGGATTGGGCTGGGACCGCGAGGAATATTCTGACTCCCCAGGACCTTCGAGGCCTTGCTCGTTTTGGTCGAAGGGAACAGGCTGAAACTGGGACTGGGGGATTTCGACCGTGTCGGAACCGGCGAGTGAGGAATGTCCTAAATATTATGTCAGTATAAGTGATATCTTCAAGCCAGATGTACTTTTAGACACTATACCTCTTCTGCTGGAGGCTTCGTATCTTCCAAATTCTTGCTGCGCCTACTCATGGAAGATGGCCTGTTCTTCTTGAGGACTCCTCCAAACATGACGCTGTATCGCTCCAGCTGAATGTCAGGAATGTCAACCTGGAGTAGGGGACCGGATCCAAGAGACTGTTCCTTCTCCTGGGGCGAACCACTGGTCGCATCTGCGTGAGTCTGTTTCGGTTCCTGCGCAGAAGTCTGGACTTCCGGTACTATAGAGGGCCATGCGTCCGTGCCTGTGGTGGGACTGGCAGGACTCTCGAGGCCTGAAGTCTGGATCTTTGGCTGCTGCTCGAATGAATAGGTCGAGCCTTGCATTGGCCATTCATTTTCGAGCCGGACCTGATAGAAGGGTTGATTTGGAGGGGCTGTCATGGCAGCCTTGGCCTTGAAAAGGCCGCCAATCTTCTTCCATTTGCTTGGCTTGCGCTGCAACGATGGTCGCGCTTGGGGTTCCGCCGGTTTGACAGGAATCGTCTCCTGTATCTGTGATGTGGGAACTTGCGGGTCGATCATCCGAGGACTTCCCAACGCGACGCCGATAAGACTTCCATTCATGTCATTATTGGTGCAGACGGGTGACGATATGGGGGAAGAGGGAAGCGGAGGAGCCTCGGTGTTGATAGGGCTCATGGCTTGCAACCTCTTCTGCTGGTGCCCTTCAGATACCACTGGGCGATGAAAGCTCCGATTTGGATGAGGCGCTGGGCAGCTGTTATTTGCGCCATCCTCGATACACTTTTGGCCCTTCCGTGGCAGCACATCCGGGTGTTTTGATGTTGGGGAAGAGCCAGCCTCCGCCTGCCTAATTGTACGTGACCTTCCTAGAAACGTCCCTCTAGCCATTGTGCACGACTGCCTGTATATCAAATACCGAAGTGAAAGTGAAGGGTGAAGTTCCAGAGTATTGCTAAGAAAAAGATGATGGGTGAAATAAAAAAGTAAAGAACGTTAGAGGGAGCCAAGCCCTGTTTCTATCAAAATCTCAAGACAAAGGAATGGACGGCCTTCCAGAAGACCCAAAATTGAAAATGCAAGCAGTTCAGACAAGGAAAGAGTCAGTTCATGATGGTGAGAAAAGGAGAATGGGCGATAGAGGGTCAGCGCAGCATAGTTAAGACGTTGCGGCAGTTATTGTGGAGCACTAGGCAGAGCGCTACATCTAAGTGAGACGTGTGGCAGGGGCGAACTAGTGCGAGGGCTTAGATTAAAACATTGTGCAAGATCTGACGAAGCGCGACGGCAGAACAGCCAACAGAAATTTCCAGAGAAATTGCTCAGGAGAGACCACACGGCATCCCCGCATGGCCAACACTGGACACGGACATTCGTCCAGTCACAAGAATTGACAGCTCTGTGATTAGGAATAGGTGAAGGCCATCGAGAACCACACGAGGCGCTTATTCTAGTAGCTGCAAATCAGCGTTGAATGTTGCGGGCGCATTTAATTACGAGCGCGGGCGAGGGGCCAAAGAGAGAGGCTCCGGCCGACGGATTCACCTCGAGTTGGGAAGTATGAGCGTTGGCGCAGCTGGAATCATTGGTTCCAGCTGTTCTGAAACCCCTGTGCGCTCGACCAATGAGATTATGAATATCTCAATCGCCTGGCGATCACACAAGGCCTGAGACTCATTCTCAGGGCCTTGGTGTTACGGATCCTCTAACCGATGCCTCAGATGAGAAAACCCTTTTCATGAGATGCTCGTGCGACCGTGACTGTATTCTATCGGCAGCCGAACGTTGCAATTTTCCGATTCTCTTTGGTAGTAGATTGCGATAGCCCGTTGAGGCACGAGGCCCGCTAGATAAGACCGAGGAGTCCACTGGGGAAATTAAAGTAAGAGGCCGCCCAAGGAACTGGCCCGCGGCCCTCACCTTAAGGTAAGTCACGGACCAGCCATCTCCTGAATGGCGTTTCTAGCTTCTTTATAATTTCGGTAGATCAAGGCTTGATGGCCTGAGAATGGTGTAGTATTTGATATGTATCATCATTAGAAAAGGTTTTATGATGGACGGGAGTTTCCGCTATCCACCATCACCATCATCGACAAGGGAATTGTCGAGGAGTGAGGAGGAGATAGGAAAGAGGCGACTGACGGATGGCTGCAGATGATCCCCGGCACCTGACTCGATGACAGGCACGTGCCCAGTCAACCCACCACACATCAGCTCAGCTCGCAGGTGACAGTTGCTCCCGATGAATTTGTTCAGGGCACTGAGGGCAGAGACATAAGGGATGAATAGACAGGGAAGAGGCGGTAAGGAGAAACCGGTGAAAAGAGGCCCGCAAAGTGGACATGCTTGGGGTGTCTAACAGGGTCTAGTTTTGCACCGGTAGGGGAACTAATCCTAATTATCCTATACTGAAGCGGGTGAACTACGGAGTCAGCCTGCCGTTGAGCCCTCCACCGCCTGGCTACTCTCTACGCATACCGTAGCTTTGGTGGGTGATCCCAAGGTTAAGCTAGACAGTGATGGAATGAGGCTATTCAGAGTCCAGCTCTGTGTTGCTAGGGGGATGACGTAGGAAGACGTACCATAAAACTCACCCCCAAAAAAATTAGATGACAGCTGGTCATTAGTAGTAGTGAGCGGAAGGGAAAGAAGAGGCGATATGATGTTTAATCTCGGTGTGTACCACTTGGTACTGAGGATAAAGTTCAAAGAAGAGCTATAAGGTAGCAGCATATGATAAATAGACGTTAGATATCCATCCATCTTACGGTGACCGACAAGTAGAGAAAATGAGGAAAAGTCAGGAGATGCTCAGCTGGGAAAAAGCAAATGGAAACCAATGCCTGCCCACCCCCCACCAAAAGCAGACTAAACCAACTAAAGCAGCAGCAAACCACCCAAGCCCGCTCTTAGTAAACTCACCTCATCGTCGGTCTCCTTCTCCCCCTCCTTTCCCACCAACTTTCTTCGAGACTCATCTCTACTATCTACTACCACCTTCCCCTCCCCAGCGCATTATTTCTCTTTCTCCTGGTTGATTCCTAGTCTTCGCCCGGAGTCTTTTACCACCCCCCACGTTCCACTCTTCTTACGGATTACTCTGCTTATCCGTCTCTACTTATTCCCCTTTCCCGACCGTCCCGTCATTTGTTTATCCGACCGTCACCATGGGTCAGCACTCCGCTATCTGGCAAGGTATGACGATAAAACATGCTCCTGCGACATTCCATTCTTTGTGTATAGCACTTTATTCTTGGGAGTTCTAGGCTGACTTTCTCTCTTCTTCCATCTCAGGATATGTCGATTCCAGGTACCGTATAACCTAACCATGTTTACCCCGCTTCGGCCACTGCCGCCCCTCCAAGTTGGTATCGGAATTCTGACGCGAGGCCGTTCAGCTTGATGGGATCTGGTCAATTTGACAAGGCCGGTATTCTGAGCCACGACCTCTCCGGCCTTGAGGCTGGCTCTCCCGGCTTCACGGTATGACACGCTCTCCAACAGCCGCTGATTGATCGGCGTGACCCCACGGCCAAATCAGCGCCTCATCGGCACGAACCCAGCGTTAACGACAATCACAGATCTCCCCTCAAGAACTCCAGGGCCTTGCCGCTGCCTTCAAGAACCCCGACTCTGCTTTTGGTACCGGTATCACCGTTGGCGGCGAGAAGTTTGTCGCCATCAAGGCTGACGACCGCAGTCTGTACGGCAAGAAGGTACTGTCACACACACTTTACCTCCGCCATTATTTATCCCTTGAAATATCCACATTTCACTAACTTGTGGAAACAAATAGGGCAAGGAGGGTATCGTCGTCGTCAAGGCCGTCTCCTGCGTCATGGTCGCCCACCACGCTGAGAACGCCCAGACCACGAATGCCGCTACCGTGGTCGAGAACCTCGTTGACTACATCAACAACCCCCGGTAAATGGGTTTAAAAGCAGAATGAAATTGTGTTTTGTCTCGCCTTGAGCAAGGGACAGTCGGTAATACTGGTTATTTAAATGTAAATCATCATGGTGGTCTCCTTTTCTTGATTGTCTTTCTCTCTCCGGTATTCTTCGCATCAATTGGCATTTATTACCGCACGTAGATTCATACCTGTACATTATGTGCTTACAAGTAAAGCCATTTCAACAAAACTATTTTGAAAATCCGAAAGCCCAGACCGGCCATTTCACATGCACAGGAAAGAAAGTTAACAGCCCAAAGCTATCTAGCGTCCACAACTGTCCCGCATTCCGAATGATATCACCGGCCACTCTGTTATTCTGACAGCTCCGATCTATGCAGCATGCACAATAAGGTAATCTCAAATTAGCTTTTAATTATCATATCACAACCCACACTACCGAACTTCGCAAGAAAGACTGTCCCCCAAAGATCATGATAACTCCCCTCATCGGAAAAGATATATTAACAATTAAAAGGTCTCTAATACATAATAATAACCCTATTATAAAAGCGAACAACATCACCACCACCACCACCCCGCTCATCCAGACAATAGTAGGTAGCAGTAGGTAGACATGGACCTACAGCGACAAACGGTAGTAGTCCACACCACACCACACCATCCCATACCCATCCCAACCCATCATGCAAATATTCGTAACAAGAAAAAAAAAAAAGAAAGTAAACCCTAATGCCACATAACTATTCATACACATGAACATGTCAAGATCCCTCCATCATCATCGTCATCGTAATCAAAAAAGTCATTCCTCACCCACATCCATGCCCCAACACCCTCAAAAAAACGAGGGCACGTCCTCTCTATACAGGCAGTTCGGAATTCCTCCTCCCACCCGCCAACGTCTCCAGAACCTTTTGAATAAACGGTCCTACGACGGGGATATTCCCCGCGAACTGGCCAATGGTGATCAGGAAGTCGCCGAAGAGGATGAAGAGACCGTACAGCTCGATTATGAACCCGGTGAGTGGCCAGCGGAGGAGGATGAGGAGGATTCCGGCGGCGAAGGCGGCGGTGCCTTTGAGTTTTTGCCGGCGCGAGAAGAAGGCGAAGGTCTTTTCGAGGCCGATTATTAGGGTTAGACCGATGAGGAAGAGGATCTGTGTGTGTGTGGTTGGGTTGGGTTAGTTGGGTTTGGTCATCAAGTCGGGAGAGGGGAGTGAGGTGGGATTATTAGGGGTAGCGTACGTTGCCCATTGCCAGTCTATGGTGTTGGTTTTGTTAGTTATATTGTGTGTTTTGGAGATGTATGGGTAGGTGGATATGGACGTACAGTGAGCGATCGAAGAACATTAGGACTCCGCCGAAGAGGAACAAGCCTCCTGTTTTGGGGGACATCGTTAGTATGTGTATCGATCGGTCGGTGATGTAGGCATTGCGCTGTCGCTGCAAGCATGTTATGTAGACATACCAGCTGAGCAGAAGATAACTCCGATCTCTGTTGTAGAACGGACGTGCGTTAGCCAATGATCCGGATATGATCTCGTGCGAAGTGTGCAAAAGTAGACGTTTCTTACTCTGGTTATCGGATAGCCACATTGTAGGCATATTGGCGGATTTCTGATTCTATGGAAAAGCGCGCGCACTGATATAAAAGTTGGAAATGATACGTCGAGGACTGAAACTAGAAATGTTCGAGGTGGATTATAGCTCCTAACGATGCGATGCGTTCGTCGCTCGGGGATTCGGGGGCTTGCGGAGATCGCGTGCACGGGGCACTATATATCGTGGGATGGACGAGGAGGCGGTAAACCCACAAAGTGACTAGAAATTGAAAAGGGTGAAGATATCGCACGCCAATATATAGGCACTCGTCCTGGAGGATTCACGAAACTCTTGAAGTACAGGCGCCAGCAATGCGAGTAAACACGGAACCAACTGCGGCTGCTGCGCAAAATTCCCAATTCTGCCACGTCCCTTTCTTGGCTAGGTTTGTGCTATTCCGCGTTCGGATGGCGGTCGGGTGATCAACAACATTCGCACAGCCCGCTATTTTCGGCTCTCTCAACTCAACTTCTCAACCGATTCTACCTTCTGATGTTTACCATCGAGGGAGGACCATGCGTGTCGACAATATCACTCGGATTGCATGCCATTGACTAGGGTCTTTGATGATGGGACACCTTGTCAGCTTCTAATGTGCAATCCTTCTACGATCTTATTGATGCGGTGGTGCAAGAGACACGCAATGCTTCTACGAAAGGGGTGCCTACGATGACTTGAGGTACCAAGATGACTTCAATCGGCGACTCTATTACTGCAACTATCCTGCCCGTATATACCTGGCGAGTCCTCGGGCTCAACTCATTACACGCCGCGGCGACAGCATCTTCGGATGCTGTAACTGATGTTCCGGTTCCTGGAGCTTCGGTACTAGTCGAGTGCATCTTGCACAAGGCGAAGATAAACTTCCATAATAAGGTCACGAATAAGCCGGAGCGTTTTCTTTGAACCTGTCTCGAGAGGGGCATGGTGGGTGGAAAGGGCTTGACTGTGTTGGCCGTACATAAATCGCGTATTAGATTAGGCTGCTATCTAGCCTGACTTTAGTTAGAAGTCCGACGCATTATCGTCGCAATGAATATGACAACTTACCCTGATATCTTACAGTGTAAAACAAACATCTCCATAGCAAAATCATAGCATCGTTTATTTGAGAACCACATGGGCAGCTCTGAGCTCCAGATAGCTCTCCGGCACTCCCTGACCGAGTGTTCTAATCACACTAAAGACCTCCTTGTCGTGATACCTCAGTCTCGTCTTAGGATCTGTGTATGGGGCAGGCAGGCCTGTTATATCGCAGTAGCGGGTTTGCTGCGACGGGTGCAATGAGGGTGCGGATTCGATGTTCGTGTAGGTCACGGCAGGTCCAGATGTAAATGCAGCTCGTGCGTTCTTTTCCAGCACCAGTGTCGAGAGGTTCTGCGCGGCCTGCGCGATGTTCGTTCGAGGTGTGCCATCGGCAGGGGTTTGGCTGCCGTCGGTGCTGGCAGACGTAGCTGGGAGTGGGGTGGTTGCGCCGGAATTAGACTGTGTTGCCATAACAGAAGCCTCCTTCCTCGAGCTCTCAGAGATTAGCTGCTTGACGTTCTTGTTGCGACGCTGCGATGGTTTCCAATTCGGATTGCGGAACGGACGGGAAACTGCCGCGATATCGAGACGATCGAGAAGCGCTTGGTGATTCTCCTGTTCGGCGGGGGTAAGAGGAGCCATGGTGATGATGGAGCGTTGAGGTGCGGATGAGGTTCTAGTTTGAAAGGATGAGGCTGGTGTCTTGGTTCAGTGGTGGAGGTTTGGTTGATAATGTCGAACTGGGGGTATGGCGGTGCTCTCCCACGTCCGACCCTTGCCCGAGTTGTGAAATTAGAATGCACAATGCGCACTGATACCACCGATACTGATGGTCAGATGACGCAGTACTATTGTCTGTTCGTCCAGAGATAGAGTGAAAGAAATAGTGAAGATAGAGAATAAGCCAACTTTGGAGACCTGATGTCTGGATAGTGAACCTGCCAACCAGTTCCCAGCTTGGTATCAGTCACGTGGCAGCGTATCTTGGGTTGCCGTGAATCCAAAGAAGCAACAAACAAACACAACATCAACAAGTCATCCACGAACCACACCAGATTGCAAAGATGGTAAGCAATACAGTGCACTGGAAGATTTAGTAGTAGCCAGGTCATCCCATCCTAATATTATATCTAGGAAAGTCCACATGAGCACCAGCAGGCCCTGCTGCTCTCTCGCATTATCGGCAACATTGTATGTGAACCGGAGGGCATTCTGAGTTGCAATAGCTGATCGGCTCTAGGAAAAACTAAATGAGTCAATCATGGTGATGAACAGAAGCCTCCAGGTAAGCGCTTTTGCTTGATTTCCGCCAGGGTAGAGTACTGATGGGCTTTACTAGGAGGTCAACATCCAGAACATGAACGTCGAACTTGTCGCACAGATGTTCAAGAACTACCAGTCCAACGTTCTATTCCATCTAGAAGGTATTTTTCCATTGATTTCTTAATTGAGTTTGGCTGACCAGTATTAGCGACGGAGAATTTGAAAGATCCGTCATCCTCGTCGTCCAGTTCTTGATACCCAGCAGTGTTTCCTAGTTATTTGATAATGAGACATGATTTCCACGTAACTCTGAATTTCACCTATTCCTCAAATGTGAATGGATAGTAGACCAAGTAAAGACAGGCAAGCGTGACTGCTAGGTTCCGTAAAGAGGCATAGTTACTCGCATGGAGTGAGCGGCTTGGCGGCATACGAGCGCCGCTGGCGGTGGCCGGAGAAGCCTCCACGGCCCCGACCAAAGCTGGGGAACTTTCAAGCTCCCAATTCCTTTCCTCCCTCATCACCAACACCATCGCAACCTGCGTCATCCTATCTTTGACAGCCTTATCAACGCGCAACTATCATCAGCTAGTGGGTATCTGGTGCACTAACGCTTGCGACACTCACTGCAATGCAGTGAGCGGTCTTTACCTGGAAGCTTCCAAGTTGCTGCTAAGAGCGCCTGCGTCCAACCACCATGGCTATCACCTCGATCCAGCCGGTTCTACCGACCCGGTTCACGATCAATTCGACCGAGAAAGGTGCCAAAAAGCCTCCCCCGGAACCTTACCACGTGAAAGACCATCCATTTAAAGGCTACCACCCCCCTCAACCGGAAGGCTACGAAAAGAGCAAGAGTACTAGCGCCATAGTTATTGATAATGGTGAGTGAAGGCCCTGGCTTAAGACTGCATTGTGTACGGTCGACTGACTTTTGCGATCGACTTGAAGGCTCGAACCTCGTCAAAGCAGGTTGGTCGTTCGACAAATCCCCTCGATTCGTGCTTCCTCCTGTGATGAGCCGATATCGCGACCGGAAGCTCAACAAAGCCTGCCAATTCATCGGATACGATTCCTATGTAGATGCGACTACGCGCGGTCAGCTGCGCTATGCCTTCGACCCTGGCACGAGTGTGGTGGGTAACTGGGATGTCATGGAGGGGGTGTTGGACTATCTGTTCATCAAGCTGGGAGTTGATGGTGCCAATGGAGGTGTTGACAGGCCGATTGTCATGACTGAGCCGATCGCGAACCTCGCCTATCCCAGAAGGAGTAAGTTGTATCGCTTGGGGATACAATGGTGGCATTGCTGACGATTTGCTAGTGATGAACGAAATCCTGTTCGAGTGCTATTCCGCGCCATCGGTCGCCTACGGAATCGACTCCCTGTTCTCCTATCGGTACAACCGCGGAAAGGACGGACTCATCATCTCGTCTTCGCACACATCGACGCATGTGATTCCCGTGCTGAATAACAAGGCTTTGCTATCCAACTGCTCGCGACTGAATTGGGGTGGACTGCACGCATCGGAATACTTGCTGAAACTCATGCGCTTGAAGTACCCGACCTTCCCTGCGAGGATGACAGAAAGCCAGATGGAAGACATTGTGCACAAGCATTGTTATGTTTCCAAGGACTACGACCAAGAGCTGAGCCACTATCTGGACTGGACAGGGCTGGAGGAGCGTGACTGTATCGTCCAATACCCTTATACCGAGCATGTTGTGCCCGAAAAGACCGAGGAAGAACTCGCCCGGATTGCCGAGAGGAAGAAGGAAAGTGGGCGTCGGTTGCAGGAGCAGGCCGCTAAGATGCGGCTAGAGAAATTGATGAAGAAGGAGCAGGAATTGGAGTACTACAAGGACCTACAGAATGGACTGGCCTCGGAGACGAAGAAGGAAGCCAGGCGCATTCTCGAAGCGGAGGACCTGAAGGATGAAGCCCATCTAGATCGACTGATTCGGGATCTTGAGCGGTCCATCAAACGATCCCGGAACCGGGACCTGGGGATCGAAGAAACCGAAGAGCCCCAGGAAGAGATGTCATTCCCGTTATTGGACGTCCCGGATGAAGAACTGGATGAAGCTGGTCTGAAGGAAAAGCGCCATCAGCGACTAATGAAGTCCAACGTTGAAGCTCGACAACGCGCGAAGGCAGAGAAAGAGCGCGAGAAGGCTCGCCGGGAAGAGGAGGAACGCCTCGACCGTGAGAAGCGTGAGAACGATTTCGAGAATTGGCTCGCTGAACGCAGAGCAAACCGTCAAGTATGATTGTTCCCCGTACTGATAATGGCATATCTAACCTGTCTACACAACAGAACATCATGCAAAAGATCAAGGAACGTGACAGGATGAAGGCGGATCTCGGCAATCGCAAGTCATTAGCCAGTCAGATGCGTATGAAGACCCTCGCCAATCTCGCTGCTGATGGGCCCAAGAAGCGGAGGCGTGGCGGGGACGATGACACCTTCGGTGCCAACGATGAAGACTGGGGTGTCTATCGAACGGTGGCTACAGGTGAACAGAGTGATGAGGAGGAAGAGGAGGACCTTGGAGGCATGCTTGATACCGTTGAGAAGGAGCTACTCGAGTACGACCCCGAATTCACAGAGAACCACACGCTCGCAGCACAATCCGACTGGACGAAGAGCTTGGTGCACGTCTTCCTGCGGGGCCCCTGGCCCTTTGATCCCGAAAGCCAACGTGAGGCTCATCAGCTGCACCTGAACGTGGAGCGAATTCGCGTTCCCGAGGTGGTGTTTAAGCCGTCAATTGCGGGCGTTGACCAGGCCGGCCTGTTGGAGATTGCTGCCGATATTGTGAACCAGCGATTCCCGAACCCTGAGGAGCAATCGAAACTGCTGCGGGATGTGTTCCTCACGGGTGGCAACACCATGTTCAAGAACTTCGACGAACGTCTCCGCAACGACTTCCGCGCGTACCTCCCTGTGGACGCCCAACTCAACGTCCGACGTGCAAATGACCCGGTTTTGGACGCATGGAAGGGTGCTGCGCAGTGGGCATCAGGGTCAGAATTGGCCAAGTCCTCGATCACTCGGCAGGAATACTTGGAGAAGGGCAGCGAATATCTCAAGGTAAGCACGGGAAAATTTCTCGCTCTGACACAAGCGAGATCGGCTAATAACTTTCCAACAGGAGCATGATATGGGCAATGCCACTACATGGTAGATGTCAGGGCCTGTAATACGCTCTGCCTGCCTAATACCTATACAAAGAGGGATATCTCGGCTAATGCGGTTGGGGATATACAAGGTTTGGACTGGGAATGCCTTCGGTGGGTTGTGGATCAGTGATGCGACTAATTCAAACTGCACCACTCAACTATCAAAGGTGTAGATGCTGGTAGTGGTGCCTATCCAGGGCGCGAAGGGACAGGGAGTCGGGCGTACTAAGTCGGATGAAACATTCAATTTCGACGAGGAATGATTTGATAGATTAAGATGGCATGGATAGTTTCACTTCTTTATTTCTTACTTTGTATGCTATAGTCCTTTTACTGTCATGTGCTTTTCTCAATGGTTGTATAGTAAGTGAGCTCGTATGAAACAGGATCCTCGCGTCCGCACATCTGACCATCAGCCCGACGCTTCTGTTACACTGCCTATATTACATGCATGCTGCAACGCCACCCTCAACGGTCATAGCTACGTGTCAGACCAGTATGTGCCATGTAAATATGTATTCCTGCATCCACCGCCTAGGCTGCAGCTGGTCAGGCGCAGTGGCCTATCGACCAGCAAGCGAGCTGACTGACTGTTTCATGCTTGACTAGGGTTCAGACTAGGGGAGTTTGATGCTACCGAGCTATTGAGGCTGTTAAGTCGAACCGTGCTCGACGTTGTCGACTTGGTCTTTCGGTACAGATACCTTTTGAGACTGCTGATATAAGAACCTAACCCGATCTTGCTGTACAGTGGGCGTAGGGGAGGGAGACAGATAACAATGACTCCAAGCCCGCATTCGGCCATCGTCCAGAATAGGAGGTATGTAACGAGTGCTGTGTCGTTAGCTTCAGCCATGCAGGTGTGTGTATGTGTGGTTTCGTACTTTCCCGTCGGTTTCGGCAAATGGGTTAGCAAGATGAGCTATGTAGATAGCCATTCTTGTAGCAGATGCTGCGATTGCTCTGTATGGGTGTTAGGCGCATGTGGCAAGTTTCAAAGGGAGTGTACTGTGTCCTCACAAGAGACCAACAAGGAATACCAGTCCGAGTCCCACTTTTTGGCGAACTGAGATGTTCAGTAACCATATCTATGGCGCGGTCAGTTGGAGGATTTGTGGACGTTAGATTACATGATATCTACCCGTGGCAGTGGTAGCAGCCAGATGATCACGTCCAATATAAAATCGGAAATTGCATATCCTTCGAGAAGAGGGACCTGTAAACTGCATTCGGTTGTAACGACTGCAATGGTGCCCCAGGCGTAATTAGGATGTGCACCGCAGAGAAATATCATGCCAAAGCCAAAGGCTATAGTCCATATAAACACTAGCGCTATCATGCACATGGTCACAGAGTGAAAGGCAGTCCGAATAGTCCGTCTGCTGCAGAAGATGCTGCGGTAGAAGTAGAGAATGCTTAGCTTCGTCAAACCAAATGCAAGGACAGTCACTATGTCAGCGAAACACTGGATCTGAAATGCATTAGCACTCGACTTTGTATTAACCGATGTGAGTGGAACCTGTAGAAGTCTAATTTGTTTATCCGAGGTTGAGAAGATGGAGGCATCTGGACTTGGGTCATCATCAGACTGGGAAAGAAGACCCCCTAAGGATCCTGTTGTTACTCCCCAAAGCAGGAGTGCTGCGAGTACATATTCCAGCCCCTAATTGAACTTCAAGGCCACGAGGTACATATAACTTACCAGTGCAGGCAGAGTCAACCAGTCATCAATCCACAACGCAGATTTTGTCTTTCTTCTAGTATAAAAGCGAAGGATCACTGTCAAAGTCCCCAAGACAGGGAAGAGGATAGAGATTGTAATGAGTGCAGCGGGAGTTGCGTATGTTCGTGACATGATGATAACGGTGCTCTTGGGATTCCATCGACAATGAAAGAGGAATCATGTTGAGGTAAAGGCTGGAGCAAGACAACAATAAAAGCCATGGAGCCAGTGCTCCCTTGACTCTCTGCCTGATGTGTGTGTATATCTTGTAGCACTCCAGCTAAAGGTGGTGATAAGCATGCTGACTGGATTTAAGTTACACGCCGGGATGATCCTGGTCATTCTCTCCCACAAAGAGAGGCTATGTTCAAAAATCACCCCTAAACCGGCTTCTGTTTGTCCCACTCTTATCTCTTGTTTGACATACTGTCACCATTCCTAATCCTCATTCTTACTGTGTACTCTGATTCTGGACATTTATTATGTCTTTGCTCTGGAATCTTGGGGTAGCTGTCTTGCTGTCGGTACTTTGGACGGCAAGTGAAGCTATCCGTCGCCTTTACTTCCACCCCTTAGCCCATATTCCCGGCCCCCGCCTTGCAGCCCTGACATGGTGGTATGAGTTCTATTTCGACGTTATTCAGCCCGGTCAATACGTCTTCAAGATACAGGAGCTTCACACAAGATATGGTATGTCAAGCTCTGCTTCATGTGTGAGCCCCACTGACGATTGTAGGCCCAATCATCCGTATTACCCCAGATGAGGTTCACATCAATGACGTCGGCTTTTTGGACACGATCTACGCCCCTTCAATGAACAGAAGGGACAAGTATGGCTATCAGCTGAGGAGCCTTCGCGTCCCGGGTGGACTGGGCACAACCACTGACCATGACCTGCATAAAGTCCGGCGAGAGACTCTTGCGCCCTTCTTCAGTAAGAAGAACATTTTGCACATGGAGGGGTTGATCTCAGACAAGGTAGACCAGCTAAAGCGATTGATATCTACCCATGTTGCTGAAGACGCCCCGATCAACTTGTCAGATGCGTTCTTTGCATTCTCGAATGAGTAGGTTGACCGTCATTCACTCGGTTTCGAGGCTGATTGCCCAGTGTTGTCAACAACTTCCTTTTCGCGCACCGCACAGATGTACTTGCAAGCGAACCGAAAGCCGCCATCCTCCGCCAAAACAGCAAAGAGCTCTTGATGGGGATCAATATCAACAAGCACTTCCCGCAAATCCCCGATTTCCTGGAGTCGCTCCCTATGTCCATAAGCCGCCCAATGATGCCTCCAGGCCTTGTTGATCTGCTTGCCCTATTTGACGTGAGACTCCGCACCGAACATATATACCAAGTCTAACATTTTAATGCAGCGCGTTCGTGAGGAGATTTTCATGATCACAAAGGGTAAAGAATCAGGGGTAGCTGTCAAGAACAAAACCGGACCAACCGGCAAAGAGTCAGTGTTTGATTCATTACTGGATAGCCCAAACCTGCCAGCCTCGGAGAAAATGCCCCTGCGGTTGCAGCAAGAAGGAGCCCTGCTAGTTCTAGCTGGAACTGAATCGCCAGCTCAGACACTTAACATCATCTTCTATCATCTCCTTGCCAACCCCACACTTCTCGAGAAGCTTCGCAGGGAGCTCCGTGCCGTCCCTTTACCTTCCTCATGGACCCAGCTCGAGCAACTTCCGTATTTATCTGCGGTAATCGAGGAAGGCAACCGGCTTTCTTTCGGCGTCACGGCTCGGTCTGCACGTATCGCTTATGAGCCGCTGACCTATACACCTTCCTCGTACGTCTCCTCGACCTGTCCGCCCAGCACCAGAACCAAGTCGTACACAATCCCACCGGGCACTCCGATATGCACCACAACTTTGAGTGCACACACCGCGGACGCCGTCTTTCCGGATCCTTTTGTTTTTGACCCGGAATGTTGGCTCGGCGATGCTGGAAAGGAGCGACGAAGGTTTCAAATGGCGTTTAATAAGGGAGGGCGAAAGTGCCTTGGGATCGAACTCGCGCGTGCAGAGCTATATCTTGTGGTCGCAGCCCTGGTTCGTGAATTTGACATGACACTTTTCGAAACCGATGCCGATGAGGTGGCGTTTCTGTATGATTATCAAGTCGCCATGCCGAAGATGGGGTCTAAAGGAGTGAGGGTGATGGCGAAGTTGGTTCATTGATTACATTCTACTGCTACGGGAAGATTTCGTGGGTATGATGACCAGAATATTGTAAGGGGGGCTAGTCAAGAACTATTAGTTTGCTTATAACCACCAACATCTAGCTCTTGAACGATGCATCATTTGAAATCTCAGTCTTACTAATGCCAAGTCGCGCGATACATGCGCCGGCCTCGACCAACTATGGTTCGGTCAATGACTTGACACACTAATGCACAACTAGCTCTGTATGTCTCAGTTTGTCCTCGATACGCAGACATTCGTGGGTGGTGGGTCAGTTAAACCGACGAACAGACAGTGGAGCTGCGTGCTAGGCGCTTATGTGCTGAGTTGATAAGGCTCTGTGATTAGTTACTAGTTGCAGGGATGTAGACCCTTCCTGCCCCTGTGTACTTGAGTCCGTAGGTGAACTATAGTGGTGTGCAGGTGGCTGTGGGTACCGATAGCCTTCTCAGCCTTTTGGCCGTAACAGTCCCTTAGGGCGCATCATTCATACATGACTACGCTAATTGCCAAGAGGAGATTGTTTGGTACTAAATGCTGCTACCTGCGCTGTCTGCCTACTTTGAACTTAGAAATCCATTTAATCCTAGCAAATGCAGCTGCTACCGTTCTAATGTTATAGCCTTGTTCCGAGCTTCGCTCCCCGTCCCCCCTCCTCCTACAATCACCACGAGACAATGCTTCCAAGCTCTCTGAAGAAAGCCGCCAAGCAAGTTCTCACACATCTCCCCTATTATCTCCAGCTGCGCGCATCGAAAATCTTCATCCTTAGCCTGTTCGTCTGGCTCCTAATATTCTACTATTGCCGAATCAGCCTCTGGCGTGATCCACACTCTGCCTTCTTCCAAGATCGCCATGTCTACGAACTGGATTACAGCCTCCATCGTGAGCGTGAGGCCTGGCATTTTATCTCGCAGCACAACTCGGCCATCGATCCACCAGACTACGTGAAGAGTGGAGGCACACCTACTGCTTGCGTTGCCATGGTCACTGTTCGACGAGATTCGGACCATTATTTCGAAGCATCTCTTGGCTCGATGTTGAAGGGGTTGGATGAAAGAGAGCGACAAGCATTATATCTCAGTATTCTGTTTGCCGATACAGACCCGAGAGTGCATCCGAGTTGGGATCAGAAATGGGTGGGCAGGCTTGTGGATGCAGCGGATACTTATAATGTGTCGGAAGAGCAGTTGCAGCACTTGCAGGATCTGGAGAGGGATAAGAACTTTTATGAGAAGGGGGTCTTGTGAGTTTATGAATATGCTTCTAAACCCTTGTTCAATATCCATCTGCTTTCAGTCAAGCCAGCTAATAGTGTGCAGTGACTATATTTATGCCCTCCAAACCTGCCAAGAAGTAAATGCTCCCTACACGATCATATTCGAAGACGATATCATCCTTGCCACAGGGTGGTTCACAAAGACCTTGAAGGCACTCTCCGACATCTCTCAACGGAACCAACAGTCACAAAATCCTTGGATATACCTCCGCCTTTTCTACACAGAAACCTCGTTGGGCTGGAGTGACTCCGACATGGCATACAGCAACATGCCACTGGTATTCGGCCTTCTCATGCTATCTATATTCTCATCCTTAATGATACTTCGGCGCACTCGCTTTGAGCGACTTCACCTTGATACCCTGAGCATCGTGGTTATCTCTATAGTGTGCGTTCCAGCCTTCACCGCGCTCGTATACATGGCCGGCAAATACAACCTGATGCCGCTCCAAGGGGTTGTTGAGATGAACAAGTTCGGATGTTGTACTCAGGGCTTGGTGTTTCCGAGGGAGAGTATGGATGGTCTTATTGAATTTCTTGCTGCCAGAGGACATGGTCAGACCGATTCCATGATAGAGGAATACGCTGATCAGAGCCAGTTGACTCGATATGCTCTGGCACCGCCTCAGCTGCAGCATGTGGGATTGAAGTCCAGCCGGAACAATCTTGACATCAATACGCAGAGTACGTGGGCATTTTGGTTTGAGACCAATGATGCGGCCAAATTGAGAAAGGAGCATGCTGCACTTTTGGAAGATGATGGAGTGAAGAGAATGTTGAATATATAGACCATACTATCAGGATAGTAACCACTTTAATGTCAAAATACGTGAAATGGCATATATTGAAGTATGTTGTACATGAAAGTGTCGAAACTACCAGCGCCTGGGATGAATTCGTGCCATGAACAAAGTCCAACAAAGTTTCCATGGTAGTACAACTACTTAGATCTACTGACGATGGAATATCAATCTTCAACAGTATACCGACATAATTCCATCACAGTTTCCAACTTTGTGCAACCGTTCACATGAAGTCAGATAAGTTCGAGCATGTGGTTGTGAAACAAATGCCATCCGTGTAGTGGGGACACAGAGGGCTTAAATCTGACCATTATAGCCCGACTATTGGCCATCGACTATCGGAGTATAACATTTCAATCTCACAATCCTCATTTGATTCCCCATCTTTCATTCAGCATCACAACTGCCTGTGATGAATTTAATCCTATTCAGGAAGGGCCATGCAAAGTGTCCCCAGACCGCCTGTCTGATGGGGTATATTACCAATTGCTTCATTGGGATAGGATCATCGTTACGATAGGCAGGAAATCAACATGTCAAATGTCCAACCAAGGGCGAGATGCAGCACAGACACTTGGCTGCTCTCTGCCAGTCTCCAATGCTTTTCTCCAGGTGGGTCTGCCCCATAACAACCGCCAGTCAAAGGCAGTTTTTAGCTCATAAGGCGGGGGAAGCGTCCGTGATCACATGTGGCAGGTACTTATCAACCACAAAGCAACGTCACTAATCTTCATTTCATTTTCCTTCACTGCATTATTCTTTCTCCTCTCTAAAAGTACAACATGTCAACAACCACAATTGAGCTAGTTTCACAGGTGCAACAGGAGTCACAGAACCCAGTCCAACCATTCGGGCCGAGTACCGAAGAGGCAATCGTACAGCAGAAGCAAAAATGGAATGATCCTCCCATTAATAGATGGCGTCTTTTGGCTACATTCATCAGTTTCACGGTTGTTGGAGCAAATGATGGTGTCTACGGAGTGAGCTCTCCTTTACAGTGAACCCCCGCATCAGAAATGACTGACAAACTAATCACTCATGTTAGGCACTCGTCCCATATGTATGCGTTTGATCGGCTAAAGTTAGTTCCTTTTCCAGAAAGATGCTGAACGTCAAGTAGCTTCGCGAAGACTACAACCTGTCTACCACCGTGGTCTCTTTAATTTTCGTGACCCCATTCGCCGGATATACGATAGCCACGCTCATCGTCAACAAGATTCACATGACGCTTGGACAGCGGGGCATAGCAATTATCGGTCCTCTATGCCATATCGTTCCATATGTGATCATGGCCATTCATCCACCCTGGCCAGCAATGCTAGCTGTCTACGTAATTGTTGGCTTGGGCAATGGTCTCATCGACGCGGCATGGAATTCCTGGATCGCTGATATGGCCAACGCGAATGCTATGATGGGAGTCCTTCAAGCATTCTATGGTCTCGGGTATGTGGCTATAGACAAGACCTCTGACCATCAATTATCAATACTAAGGACCACTGCAGGGCAACTATAAGTCCACTGGTTGGGACTCAGATGATCAAATCCGGCCTTCGCTGGAACTATTTCTACTACACACTACTTGGTGCATCCATTCTGGACCTAATGGTGAGCTCTACTCTATTCTGGAAGGAGAATGCGACTAGCTACAGAGCCAAGAATCATAGAGGTACCGATAGTGGCGATGGAAGCAGAACTACAGAGGCTATGAAAAGTCCTATTACCTGGCTGATAGCTGTCTGGCTATTTGTGTACATGGGAGTTGAAGGTGGGTCAGTCTATCAGATCCTTGAATCGAATGACCAAACTGATGAGTGAATCTGATAAGTGTCGGTGGGTGGTTGGGTCGTGGACTTTATGGTCCAGGTTCGCCATGGCGAGCCCTACGAATCGGGTCTGATTCCAACCGGCTTTTGGGCTGGTGTCACCGTGGGCCGTCTTGTTCTCGGTTTTGTCAACGACTGGCTAGGTATGTTTCCCCTTCCCCTATCAAGGACTAAATACATAAATGCTGACTGCAATCAAGGAGAGCGAGTTGCTATCAGCATTTATCTAGCCATTTCAATCGCCCTAGAACTCATCTTCTGGCTCGTACCGCAGTTCATCGTGTCCGCAGTGGCTGTCTCACTGCTCGGCTTCTTCACTGGCCCTCTCTTTCCCGCAGCCATTGTCGTGGCGGCTAAGCTGCTCCCCAAGCATCTCCATACCCCTGGGATTGGACTCGCGTCGGCGTTGGCTGGCGGGGGTGGAGCAATGTACGCTTACCCCCTTACTTCACAATGGTTCACGACCTATTGCTGCTTGAAATCCATGGCTAATCCCACTTTGATCAAAGACTCCCATTTGTCGCAGGTGCTATATCCGGGGCTCGCGGAGTACAGAGTCTGCAGCCATTCGTCCTCGCATTATTGATTGCATTAATTGCTATATGGGTGCTGCTCCCTCGGAGGAAGCATCATGCTTACGCTGTTTGAGGCAGTGGTATAACTTCGTGGCTGAATATAAGTAGACCTGTAAAACGAACAGGTATATTTACGATTATATTTTATACAGTCATGTGCAGACATATCGTCTTAGAACGTTATATATTATCTTATAAGAGAGTGTAGTGCTCCTCTAAGTGCACTCACTACAAACATTCTTCTCTACTAAAATCTTTTCTCGAAGAAAGCTATTATGTCCAATGTAAATTATAAAAAAGTTCCAGTTGGGAATGAACGAATTAAATGAAATTACTTTCAATGATAATTATTATTAATGTTATATATAAGTAGGCGTTTGCTGACTTGACTTTCAAAACACTGGATTTATTTGTAAATCTTGTTCATTTGGAGATAGGCTCAATTCATAGCATCGTTCTTGTTATCTGCTGCTTATGCTCTTGGAGTGTGACACATATGACAGAAAAAGAAGTGACAAGAAAGTGTGGAATTCCTCGATCAAGCATGTAAAGGCCGCTGCAGACTGAATGAGAATATATAACCTGGCAAGATGGAGGGTCTTGTGTCGTTGTACAGAGTCTTGATAGCTAAAAGAGAAAAGCATCCTTGAACATTCGTATTCCACTGAACAAGCCCTCCCGTCACTTCAAACCACTATATTATATCGCGACAAATCATCCCTCCTCTCACTAGCCGATGAATGCGTAGACTCCTTCGTGTCACTCTCTCAGCTCAGCCCTTGCACGATCGTCTGAGCATTTGCCAAAGCTCTTTGGCATATTTCTACCCCTCGCTCGACCCTCTCTGTACATTCGGGATTCCTTCCAGCTTCAGAGATTTCTCCCTCCACAGTGACCGTAGCATGTAAATCTCGGGTGATATTAGCAACCTCCTCGCTAAGCTTCTGATGTAACTGTTCAAATGCTTCGTCGATCATTTCTTCATAGTCGAGAGCAATATTGTCAGCAAAGTCTTGGAACAGACTACGTGAACTGAGATGACGATTCATGATTTGCTTTCGACGCGAATCACTTCCCGTTCCTATGCGAGCCAGTTTGCATTAGCTCTAAAAGAAAATGTGATTGAATGGAAGATAAGAGAGATAGCATACCACTTTGTTGCATGCAAAGGTTATAGACTGGACGCATGACTCCCGCAATATATGAGCTCGCGTGTCCACCCACTGTGTCATCCATGATATTTCTGCAAATCAAATTAGTTCATCTCTCATAGTAGCATACGATTTCGTGCACAATACTCAGTGTCATCAATTAGACGTTCTATGGAGCATTGAAGAGCGTCCAGTATACACGTCCGTCGCATTCGGAGGTTCAGAAGCAAGTTTCCTAGGGTTTCCGGGGCCAGCTCCCGTTGCTCTGACAAGTCAATAGTCAATGACACCAGTCCTTTAACCCTTGAGGACGCTTGGGAAATGGCGTACCGTGTATAGAATCATGCACCCTTTGAAAAATCCTGGAGATTTCGTCTTCGAGCTTCTTACCCTCTTCTTCAAGCCAGTTGAGCACGGAATCCCACGCCAGAGATAGCTGGTCAATTCCCGAGCCGAGAATCTCTTCGTTCCAGCATCGACGCGGTTGTTTTGCCGTTTCATACGTTCCGTAGTTGCGACAGAACGCTGCATATGTCATGTGGTGCCACTTGCAGGTAGCCAAAGTTAGGTACGAATGTTCTTGGGATACCGTGGATCTCACTTACATTTGCCCATTCCAAGCTCGCCTCGACTGCATCGTCCCTCCAATCACCTCGATTTCGGCCTGTATGAACGGTTATTTACTTTGGTCTTCAAGACTGGGTTGTAGGTCGGTGCCTACGAATTTGTTGTGTAATGGCTTCGGAAAATTTCCTCCTGAGGCTACTCTGTAATGAGTGTACCTGCGAGCCATCACGAGTTGTGCTCTACACGAATTAGCAATCATGGCATTTATAACTAAGCAGCAGATAGTAGATGCAGTTTGGATTCTGCACCTAGACAGGGAAAAATGCATTCAGATATTAGAAAATTACCGTACCCCTTTCAGACTGCTTTCGGCTTCAGTCAAGACCCGTCGCAAGACTTCTGCCCGGGCCATGGTCACGGTGCTAGTCCCTGCTAAGGCCCATTGCGTGATAGAACCCAGCAGCGCTGGTACTTCGTGTTGGAGATAAGACACCGTGGCTCGGAACTGCGCATCTGCCGGCACTGATTGACAGTAGCGTCGAAGTTCTTGGATACCACTGAGTGCCAAATACCCATTGGCCTGCCGTGGATCGTCCTCTCGATGGTCAGAGTAGAGCTTATTGCTCACGCAGAATATACGAGCCATTTCCCCCCATGCATGCAACAAAGAGTTGGTCACAGATGTATTTCTTCGAATGACGAGGAAGTTCATCAATCTGGCAAGTTTCAGATTAGACCCAATGTCTTAACTTAAAACAACCAATGTAAGGGCTCTTACTGAAGCTCAAGGGTTTCTTTCTGATCCCTGCATTGAATGAGATATAGGAAAATTAGGAGTATCGTGCATCAGTGCTACTTACCTGAGGTTACTTTCCTCTGCAGCGAGACTCTGCATCCTACTTCCGTGCGCTTTTCGTCTGCGAGTACCTGTCTGCACGATCCTGCGATCCAGCTGCCGGATTTGGTTGTTCATATTCCGGATACGTACAGCATCTGCTGCAGGAGCGGTACGTGCCGTCTCTTCTGAATTGACGTCCTGTATTTCAGTGGTCACTTTCATGTCACCTGGATAATGAATTTGAAAAGCACTTACCTCGGAGCGAGTACACACAATGCGGATAGGTTGATCCCGCGCACATCGACGGATGATATCCCCTATTGACTGATCGGTTGTACATCGCATAATATTACTCACAATAAACACCTCGTCGCAGCTGTGGCGTAGGTACCATTCTGTCGCTCGCACCCGAGCGTAGTTTAAGTCGCGAAATCCTGAACATTGTACTCTTAGCTCAATTCTGCATGACACCGTTATAATATCTCAGTACGGTACCTGGGAGGTCGGCCAAAACTAAACCCGTGCGTAGAACGGGCGAGCGCAAATAGACCCTATGTATAGATTAGCCCCATAACGCAGCATTTGCCTGTGATCACTTCAGTTGTATACCTGACCAACTTCACAAACGGCCACAAAGCAGGGTTATCACCGTCATCATCATTGGCCATCAGTCTGTCAAGATGCTCCATGCATTGATCCGCATGGTGAGACACAACCGTATACTGTAGGTTATCACGCCCACCTGGTCGGGTATCTAAACCCGCCATGGCCCACTCCAGCAAGGTCCTCATGATTGTAGCGACGGCCTCGTCTCCTTCCTGGGCAAGGAAATCAATGTCCAGGTCCCGCTCATGAGGAAAGAGGGATTTCAAGGTGTCCCAGGCTCTTTTGGCCGCAACTTTGATATTCTCCTGCTCTTCCGACGTTCTCACTTCACGGAAGGCTTCCGTGTAGTATTTCCGAACACTGGATAAAAGCTCCTCGAGGAGCTCACAGATCTCGTCATTGTCCATGAAATCTGCAACAACGGTATAGTTTTCTGGATAGGTATCATTTACACTCCGGAATTCGGTAACGACAGTGGTGCAGGCAGCGCCGTCTCCGCTCTATGGGAAGGGTAGATCATCGGGTGTTAGCCTCTCAAAGGTATATTATAATGATTTATTTTGAACCCACCGACCGAGCCAAGCTCTCTTGATCTAGAAGTGAATTTATTAAACTGCTCTTCCCTGTTCGTATGGATCAGCCTCTCAACGTACGTGTAGCAGCACCACCCTGTCTCAGCTATTTTTCCGATACTTACCAACACCCGAGTCGCCGATGAAGCCTACCGTGCGTGTCGCTGGATAAGCGAATCGACTTGCTTCACGTGTCTTCTCATAAAGCTTGGACAAGTCACTAGTATTGTCATGGGCAAGGGCGTTACCGCTCATTATTTGTGTAAGACTCGTTAGTTCACTCCTGACATCTCGCAGCGCATTCTGAAGTCGAATATCATAGATAGGCTCCTGGGGAAGAGACTCATGACGAATGTTGTAGGCATCCTCATCTTCTTCTTCCGCTGCATCCCCCTCAGTGTCGAGTATAGAGCTCCTGTCGGAATCAGAAGCATAACTATCTGCGTCTCCCAGATTTAGATTCCGGAAATGAGAGCTGACATCTCCCGAGGGCGAGGTTGGTGTAGGTGACCGTTGTTGGCTTGGTCGTACATAAGAGGGACCTATAGGGCTAGGGGTAGAATTGTGCAGATCCCGGTAGGTTGTACGATGGGCGCTGCGCGTAGGTGTTAAGCCAGAATCGTTATGAACTGTGCTTGATTGATTTATTGGGGGTTGTTGGGCTGCAGGAGAGATGCTATCGCTCAGATGGAGATCTTCAAAGAGCAGCCGCGTGGTTGGCGTCATAGAGGATCGGCGACCCTCTGGGATAGCTGAGTTGAGGCCGTCGACGGACGAATTCGGGGTCAGGCATTCGGGAGACGATGGGCTGCAGGAGAAGGTAAACTCGACCGAAGGAAGAGGCTGATCTCTGTTTATAGAAGATGGGGTCGCTTCCGCGCTCCTGATGGGAGTAGTACCGTGTTGATCCGTGGTATCAATCATGACGCTGTTGTTGCACACCTGACATCCACTATGCAGAAAGTACTTGTCGAGAATATCAGTGTCTGGGGACTCGTGAACATTATAAGAAAAGGAGGCTGAGCATGCGGGGCTTTGTACGGCGCCTATGAGCGTTTCATGTGGTGGAGAACATTGCGTGGGAAAGAGCCGTCTCTGCTAGCCTCGGCGCCAAACATCCCTAGCCAGAAGCACGCAACACTAGTCACCACGAGAATTGCAGGGGTTCGGTCGCTTTAATTGCCCTCCTTGGTATGAACTGGAAGTGTATTTGGGATAAGAATAGTCCTCCAACTTGATCCCATTGCTGCCAACGGATAACTCGGATACCTGGGTATGTAGGATCCTCATGCATTCGGTTGTAGTCAAATTACCGTTGCTGACCTCAACATGATTGTTAGATTGTAGACCACCGGAGGCTCAGTTTGTTGCATGTTTTATCTGTGGGAGCCAGGGCTGCCCATTAGGGGCTTCTTCTTAAAATGTCGCCGCTTTCCTGGATGGCTTCTTAAAGCTGGTGTTAGTTCGCTGTCCATTGTCACTTCCGTTCCAACCCGCCGTTAAACACGCTGCTGTCAATGCCGGTATAGAAATACTGGATTATAGGATGTCGCTCCTCAATCTCCCAGATGTGCGCTGGTAAGCCGTCAATCCTTCAGGACACACTCTCCTTTTGTACTTACTGTTTGCGAGTCTGAATATGAAATAATAACCAGGACTGTCGATTTAGCCAGTCGGGGTTGGACGCTTAGACAATAGGGCAAAGCCGCGACGGCCCGGTGCAACCTTAAGAGCCACTAACCGTTCAAGCACTTTACTCAGTCCGGAAATACTACGAGTCAGCTGTCGTTCTACTAAGTACGGATTAGTCTCGACAGATATTGGTTCTCCTCTGGCACAGCCTTGTTCCATATCCCAATCGTGTGCTTTCACAATCATAGCCCCGCGATGGTCGTGGCCATTATCAGCAACTAACCAATAGTGATAAGTTATACCAAGTCATGCACGGCATGGCCGAGGGAAAGAGATTACAACTCGTCTAATAAAATAGGGAAGGGGAACTAATTTTCGTGGCTCGGCCTGCTATACCACACTAATGTGTCTCGCTACCATACAAAGTTGCGGGGATGGTACTTAGTTTCGCTGGCTAAGTTCACACAGCCTCACAAAAGAAATGTGCTCTCTCCAGAAACGGTTGTCGTTTCTTAGAGGCCAAATCACCAAGCCCATATTCACGTGACTGCTCAGGCCATGAGTGGTTGACAATGATGATTTTGATCAGTTGTCCAGTATAATTCATTCCACCCTTCAAGTCTAATATTCCATTTTCTCCTGAGCAAAAACTTACAAAACTTCTTTTAAAAGCACTCCCGAAGCAATAAATAACTACTTCTGATCATGAGTCTACGAACGAACAAGCCCCTCACCTGTATTCTTTCCATGTAGAATGACCTGACTTTCAAGATAGATCCTTGGGTACTCTTAACCTACAATTTGATTTTGGAGTCATAAGAAAACCTAGTAAGCAAAGAGTATATAGCAAGACAACATTATATAAAATAAATGACTCTCTTGACGTGATTACATGCAGATCTTGGTAATTATTTAACATCACATAAATGGGTAGGCCATGAATAAACTTGGTACGCCACAGGTTCGACGTAGTAATATATAAAATGGAAGAGAGATTAGCACTATTGACCATGTGTCTCCATCAAAAACTATAGGTGGATCATCACCATCAATAACAAATAGCGCTGTAAGTTAGTGCGAGGCCAAGAACCTAGGATTTGGTAAGATATATCTAAAGATAACTTTTCGTTGTCTTTCCATCAATATGTAGTTTGCTTTTTTAAAGCTATGTGCCTGCTGATGATTACACTCAAAGGTAGCTTGACAACATCTGTTCTGTCTACAAGTCGCAGTCACACTCCTTCCTACATCGATTTCTTCGACTATATATATTGTGGCCGTTGTTTCGATCGCAGATAAATAGTGGCTATTCGTTCCCATGATTTATAAACAGACATTGCTGCCTAGTAGTTAATTCTATAGCTCTTAATTCCAACTACGTTTAAGTTTATCTTGTCATATACCGACAATAGAAGAAGAAGTGCTTTTTCTTGGCGACACCCGTTCATTTATTACCAAGTATATATATTGTGTGGTAGGGTATTTTTTGCCTTTCCAACTCGGAGGGTTCGTGGGAGGTGTATACTCTATGTGTGTGGCCATATGAGAAAATATTCACCGCTAGGCTCAATCCAATAATCGTTGCAGCCACACATGTGCGGTTGCCCCATTGCAAGATCGTATTATCAAATTACAATCATAAGGGAATATAGTCAATTAATCATGCGCCAGTGACGCAGAATTTACTTTCACAGAGGCTGCAGCTATTCCCTCATTCTACGTCCAGCACTGACGCCCCTGATATATAAGGGTGCCTATTGTCCGCGATGACTTCGAAATCAAGGTAACATTTTGTCTTCCCAGGATATCCAATATTCATATATAGTATATTTCTTTCCCTTTGCCTACTGAGCCCATTATTTGGCAGAAGGCAGTCGGGGCGCACGTTAGTATATGCACAACAGCGAATATCGCCGACTCCTACTTCAATAATAACGTTTTCAAATTTCACTCCGGGGTCTTCAACAACAACAACTCCCGATGATTCGGATGATGGCAAGTCTGCTATACTATATAAATCGGATGCTTCGGTTACAGACAGAAGAGTCATCGATACCCGTCGCCCAGTTCCTGAGAAACTTCAGCGACTCATATTCCCATATGCCAAAGACGGGCAGACAGTGAATACTGCTCTCATGGCATTTCTGAATAATCTTACAACCGAGTTTGACTATACCAACATTGTGGCTGGATGCTACACAGGGTATTCTATCTTTGCCAAATATGAAGCTAGCTGCGAAGAATGAGGCTCGAACGGACGGATACTTATCTACGGCAATGAGAATCCTTCTTAACCTCTCATCGAGGTAAAACCGGTCACTCGAGCAATATACAAGGCAGATTCAAGTGGGAGTTCAGATGTCGAGATAGACCAGAAAGGAATGTAATGCTCTTCCAGTCACGCTGTAGGTTCCCTCCTTCTACCAATACCTGCCTTTCTTCGACCTTATATTAACGGTATATAGATACTCTGATGTATCTTAAAATCGGCACAAAATGTCCATAACCTTTGCAGAGTATAGTAACATCAATTGCCAGAGGCCCGCAGACACGCGAAGTCCCGTCAATCTTGACTATACATCAATTAATATGGACCGTGGGATACTACCATTTCCGGACCCACACCCTATATCAAGGCTAATATCACGAAGGTCGGGAACAAATTGGAACAATCTGGTCGGCCTTCGACTTTCTCATGTTAGTTCTCGGGTTATCTAGTATTTAATAAGTTAGTCCTGGTTTTGATCTGGTTTCCTTACAACATCTCACATCTATATATTGACACTTTATGATTCAAACTTCAATATTAATATATAATCCAGTATCAAACAGGCCGATAAGTCTCCCATCAGTCCTTAACGCACTGCTCATGATACTGCACTGATTTTTGCGTGTTCTAGCACTCTCCAACATTCATTTAGTATCTTCTACATTTGTCGGTCAACTCATTCTTTTCTAGGGGTAATGAAAGAAACATCAAAGATCTACTAATATAAACGAGCGTAACTTATTAGAATTGAATGATTGATGTAGTAGCTTGAACATGCCTCAGCCGTAGGAAAGTACCCGGATATATAGATTTCGGTATGAGGAGGTTAATTGATTAATCATTCACATAGTGCTTTGTTCCGTTGTATTCGTTTGGTAGCTCTAATAAAGTCTATACTAAATAGTAATATACTAGTTATTCTCAACCTTAGACATCATTGCTAAGGTTTCGCTTGTTCTCATGACCACTAATGAGCAGCGCAGCGCCCCGTATCGAGCGCTCTACACAGTCACTTAGTACTTAGCGGGACAAGACAACCAAACCCAATCATGCTAGGGATCATCATGATCAGCTCTGCGCCCTTGATTGCACCGCACCCTTGTCAGTTTTGTCAGAAGTTAATCAGCATCCTGCCTGTTCCGTAGAGACGGTACTTTCGATACACTCTACAAAATAGATAGTCTTTACTGATTTCATGCCCAACTGACTAGTAGTCCTGTCTCAAAAAAGAGAAGCAGACCCCCCTTGCCTAGATAGGCAGATTCAAAACACGCGAACTCAACGCGTACCGGATCTATGCATATACACAAGTATACTTTTTAGCTTTGGGCAAGAACTTGAACAATATTGGAGACGAGAATATGAGTCTCAAACCAGGGCGGGGAAAAAGTCTAATCGGATAAAGGTTCAATAGCTGTCCCCGTGGCTGGAAATAGTCCGAGCATGATTATGGTGGATGGGAGGGTTGGGATCCCCGGATCAGCGAGATGGATCACGGTGGAATAAAATGCAAGGGAAACCTGGCCAGCCAGTTGTAAGTGACTGCTGGCAGTGGTAGATTATAGGCTGGGTTTAGGTTGGCGAGTAGGTGTCATGTGTTTATTTGGTTTTTCTTTTGAGAGGGGGAGGGGAAAGGTAAGTAAGTAGGTTTCGGTTATTGAGTTCGGGTTGAGAGGTACGAGACTTTGGGAGGGTTAGGTAGCTCTTGTCTGCAGGGAGGTGAGAGATAGCTACGATAGCTACTCTGTAAGGTATAGTTTAGAGGGAGAGAATGAGAGAGGGGAAAGAGGGGAGCACACATGCATAATTTGGATGCGGTGTACATGCCTACCTGCATTACAGACGAAATGTCATACAAACAACCAGACGGGCATCCCTGCTGCAAGAGACAAACCTGCAGGTAACAGCTGTGGTGGTGGTGGTGGTGGTGGTGGTGGTTGAGAGTGTAAAGCGGGATACCAAAGTGTGGATTAACCGGAAGAGACGGGAAGGTGTCGACCCAATATTCATGGCCATCCAATTCCTGCTCTCATTCAGCCTTGTGGGTCCGGCATCACAGGTCCATTGTTGAGTCACGAAGCCTACTCTGAACAAGCCATGTCGTCGAAAGGAATGGAAGAGAGGGAGGGATGGATAACCACGGAAAGGGAGGAGCAGGTGACTGCTGGAAACCGAGGAGGAGGGATGATCTCATTCTGCCGACCGTTCCGGGATGCGAGGATCTGCAGAAGTACAAAGCACGGCGGAAGATTTAGTCTTGCTGTAGCTCGAAGCTTCTCGAGAGAGGGAGGTGGGATTGTGCATTGACTGATTATTGATCCCGCTGGAACCCGGCGGGTTGCACGATGGGAGGTGGCGTGGTCGCCATTGGTCTGTGCCGAAGCTGGTGGAAGCTGCTTGATGACCGTTCGCTGAGTAAAGGGCTGAGTCACGGTGAAATCATACATTCTTGTATTTAGTCATTCAGTATGAAGAAAACTAGATGATTCTGTTGATGGATTGGTTGATAGAATGGAATGAACAATGTAGGAAGAATGATGGAAAACGGTAGAAATGAAGCCAGAAGGGAGTATTGAGTATAGAGATTAGAGAGGAAAGAAAAAAAGACCGAAGGAAATCCGGCCAAGATCCAGACCGGGCGATCCCCCGTGACGCCAAGCCATGACGATGGAAGTTGAGTGGCTTCACGCCCTCATTTCTTCAATCAATCAATCAATCAATCACCTTTCAGTCACGCAACCTGGAAAAAAAAATCATGAGTTGACCAACAACATCTCGTCTCCCTTGCCTGGTCCGTTCCGGCTCTGTCCATCTGGCTCCATCCATCAGTCCATGGTCCACGCAGATCCTCACACTAGCCATGCCGGACCTGATCCCCACCCCGGCTGTGATGCAGACCCAGCTGCGTTGTTGCGCTTGTTGTTGCTGCTGTGATGGCCATCGCGTTCCATCTCGGTCGGGCACCCCTCTTGTCCTAGGAACAGTATGATGCCGGCCCCTACCTTAGTAGTATACTACCTCTGTTGATGTGGTCTTCCTGCACAACTACGGCAATCTGGTCAGTGCAATCACACAACCCCTACTACCTTCCCGGCGCAACGACTGGTCCGCCTCGGAACTGACTTACTTCATGCAGAGGAAATTATGACGCATCTGGGGGAAAGCGCAAGAAAACCCGCCAAAGCTGGCTCTCCTTCCGTTGGCGTCGCTCAGCTTTCCCTGGACAGGCCACTGCACAGGGCCAAAAAACTTTCGGCTCAAGCTCCAGAAAAAAAAAATAATAATACAACATCCTCTGACGTAAAAGATACGCCCCATTGATCCGGTCCACCATGCACCCTTCCGTTCTATCCATTCAAGCCGGCCAGGCGACATATAAAGAACCTTGTCCTGGTCTCCCACTCCTGGGCATTCTCTTCCCCTCTTCATCATCCATTCATCAGAGCCGGACCAACCAGTCTGTCAGTGGAACTGAGCTTCTCTTTGCGCCTCGCCCAATAAACTACCAGTTGCCCTCCTAATTCACTTTATTACCATCTCTATACACTTTCAGTCCAGTCAACCGCAGCCATGTTCTCCAGTACCGTGGCCCGTCCACTACAGCTGGCCACCCGGTTCATGCAGTGGGCCAGTGCAGTCATCGTGATGGGTATCACTTCATACTTCATCCACAAGGGACCTCGCGGCCAGCACACTATCTACTGGGAAGTCATTGTAAGCATGCTCCTATCCTTGATGTAAACACGTCAAACCTTATCAAACTAACCATGGATTAGTCGACCATGTCTGTCGTCTTCTTCCTGCCCGCCTTCATCTCGCCGTTCATGCCCAATGCCCTAAGCAAGTTTGTTCTGATCATCGATGTCATCTTCTCGTACCTGTATGTGCCATCCAACCAACCATACTATGTGCTGTTACTGACCATGACCACAGCTGGCTCACGGCTTTCATCTTTGCCGCGCAAGACTACAACTGGCACAACTGCGCCTTCAACTCTCCCCCCGGCCTGTCCTGCTCTAAGAAGAAGGCCAACGAAGCCTTCATCTTCCTGACCTTCATCTTCACCTTCTTCGCCATGTTCCTCGAAGTCGGTGCGCTCTGGGCCTACCGGCGCGAGAGCACCCCAGTCCGGGAGAAGAACACTGGTGGCGCCCACGGCGGTCCTGCTGACGCGCCTCTGGCCGCAGCCTAGACTTCAGACTCTACCTGATAATGCCATCTCGTCGTGTGACGGCGACTACATATGCCAACGTCCTCTCTTGCGCAGCATCCATCCGTCTGCATCTACGTCCTACACAGGAAAGAGAAGTCGTCCGTCTCCTACGAGATGAGGATTCGATACCCCTTTCTTGTCTCTCTTTTATACGACCATGATACCACAGTTGACTTTGGCTTTGATTGAACATCTACCATTAATACTGATGATGCTTATACTTCTGATATCCCTGCATACTAATGTCCCTTCGTTAATGTCCGTACGACTTGAACATGCTTGAAACGACCTGAAGAACACGGAGTAGGTGGTGGGTGTGGATGTGGATGTGGGTGTGGATGTGGGTGTGCATAGATGGACCGGGGTTGTGCCTATGATCGTTACTGTTACTAATACTATCTTTACTAATTACCACCATAACATAATCCTGTCTTTGTCACTCTTTCCAGATCTGATTTTAATTCTATGCTGCATCAGGGCCATCCAATGTATAATAATAGTACAATAATAACATATAATCTGTCTAAAATGATGAGATATCAAACGATGCGGTCTTATCTTCCCCACCCCCACCCCCCACGAAAAAACAAAATATTATAAAGTTAGTGTGTATATATATAGATATGTATATATATGATTAATATCGTAATGATGTTTTCGAGGGTCCTTGAGAAGTTGATGTTTGAGAAAGTACGGAGTAGTACATTAGTAACTTCAAATACATGACTCTGGGTTTATTGTTCTGTCTGTCTGTTACTACCTAGCTGTGCTTGTGTCAGAGTACCAGCGCCTCATCAGAATACGCAAGATTGCAAAAAGAGTCCGTCATGTCTATTCACAGTCTATCTATTTATTGCTTCAAAAGTCTATCCAAGTCGTCATCTTTCTTCTCTCGTTTCAAACAAGGTTCCATCTACGCATACAACACCGCATACACCCGCATATAAAGCTGATCGTACATATGCATACACCCATCAAGCACGTCCCAACCCCTGTGGAAAATCCAAAATATTCAAAGGGTCCCACTTCTTCTTGATCTCCTTCAGCCGGTCCAAGGCATCTCCATAATACATCTCTGCCCAATCCTGCAAGTACGGATCGATATAATTCTGATATGCTTGCCAACCACCCTCAGGATCGGCCTGGCGCACCGCATCCGCGACGTCGGAAAGCCTGTCAACTGCAGTCTCCCGTGCTGATGCATTTGTGAACCCCGGGAAATCCCAAGCATAGATTTGCGACATGAAGAGATTGTTTCGATGATTGAAGGCCATGGGCCCGACAGTGTCATCCGGGGGCAGGGTGGTGACGGCATCTGGACCGTTCAGGTCGAAGGAGATAAAGGCATCAGGCCCGGCAGGCTGGATGGCGGAAAATATACTCGCGATAGAGGTGCTAGTGTAGTTAGGGTGACCGTCGTCGAAGAGGGATTTGGCGTAATAGGGTTGTGGAACAGACGGGGAGTCGAGGTCACCCATGAGATTGGTGAGAGCGGAGACCCAGTTTGTGTAAATGGAGCTGGTGGTCGTGAGGGGCTGAATGGACTGGCGTGCGAGTGGGGAAAGGAGGCGGTCGATGGTTTTGTTGTAGGCGGCGGAATCGCCGAGGTATTGGCCAGTGAAGGTGCAATAGGCCTTAGGGGCCTGGTAGCCACCATCTATGATGAGTTCTCCACCCAGAGAGGTTGGAAAGCCGGCGGAGGAGGTCGCCGGTAGGGATCCGATCTCTTGTAGGGTTAGAAGGACCTGTACGCAGTCTGACTGAGTCGCGAAGCCAATGTTGTAGTTGACGATGGCCGTTGGAGCGGGCTCCATGCGGTAGGTGAACGACGTCACAATTCCAAAATTGTTGGAGCCAGCACCGCGAAGCGCCCACCAGAGGTCATCATTCTCGTCGTCTGTAGATGTGGTATTGGACTTTGCTGCCTTAGGGCTGATCGTTCGGATGCGGCCGGTCACGTCCACAAGCTCCAGTGAGACCACTTGCCATGAAATTAGCTGGGACCTTGGTGAAAGGACTCGAACAAATCATTCAACCTACCTCTGTCTACTAGCCATCCCCACTCGCGAGAGGTAAACCCCCAGCCACCCCCCAAACTGTGTCCAGCTACCCCTACCCCCGGACAGGTGCCATGAGGCAAGGCATATCCCGCGCGACCCATGGCCAGAGCCAGCGGGCCAAGCTTCTGACCCATTTGCACGGTTACCTCCTGTGTGCTCACGTCCAGGGCAATGTCGGTCATCTGGCTGGAGTCAATGACGACCTGCCCTGAAAGGCTGTACGCAGCATAGCCATGGCCACCGCCACGGGTCGTGAGAGTGACCCGACCCTGCTCGGCTGCCACGCAGCGAACAGTAGCAGCAACTTGTTCCGTTGAATTTGGAATGACAACAGCTTGAGGATGAGGGTGGTAGTTGCTGTTGTCTGCCACTGTGAGATTCGAGTACCCAGCATCCGTGGCGTACACAACGGAGGCGCCAGTGGCTCCTAGACAGGATTCAAGGGTTCTCGGCAGCGCGCCATTGTTGGCCGCTGCGGGGGTGGAGATGTTCCCAGGGTTCTGGTGTAGGGCTGCGAGTTGGTTGGGCAGCGTCAACAAGACTGCTGCCGTGAATATGACTGGAGGAGCCATGACGTGAATCGTAAAGGTGGGTGACACCGTGGTAAACAGGACCAAGGGGCATACCAAGGACTGGTGCAATGTCCTTGGCCGGTTTCCTTGGGGAAAAATCGAGGAAATGTAAGGGGTAGCGGTGTGCACTAAGTCAATTCGCGGTTCGGATCGGCGGGAAAAGAAATGGGAAAGATGCCATTTTATCAAGGGGTACGCTCATTCCGGGGGATCTGATGGGTCTCAGAGGCGCCGACAGATATAGAAGTCATTCTCAGATCTCTCCCCAATACGCCTTCCGCGGCTGTAACTCCACGTACATTCCTTCCTCCGCATGCATCTCCTTATCACCAACCAGAGTCACATCTCCCCCTCTACTCTCCAAAATCTCATTTAATCGACGGATAAAAATATCGCCCGTCGGGCTTCATCTGAGACATAACCGCATCCCTGTCTATCCTGCATCGCCTTCGTTAGGGGTGCTTTGTTGGCTGCAATGATCACCGTTCCAAAATCAGCCAATGTTCCTTTGCTAGCCTTTAGTCACCACACAAGCACAAGGTTTTATTGATACGAGGCCAAAAGTCGGGCAGAAGGGTGACCGATAATGAGCAGCCGGCAGTCTCGGCTCGCATACGAAACACGGAGAAACTACCTGAGAGGACAATGCCTCTGTCCACCATCTATCTATCAGCTTGCCCATACGTTGCAGAATAAGAAGACTTGCAAGGCGAGGCAGGCGCGCTGACATATTGCAGGGGCGGGAGGCTGTATGGAGCGGTCAGGACACCAGTTAGGCCCGACATCTGAATCCTGCGCGGCTGTGTAGTGATATCACACTGGCCGGTGATGAATCAGCCGCAACAGGCTCACACGCATACTTACGCTGTCAGCCTAGTATTTACGGTCGCACCAGAAGGAGCCATAAGACCTGACTCAGCTTATGCAAGAATTTGGCCCAACAAAGTGCCAAAGATGTCGTGACTCAAGAGCCAGCATCGATTTCTGAGCACATCGCGTAAAGCTCACAATAACACTGTTGGACATCGGGGCATCTGGTATATTGAGTCAGCATTCTTTCCATGTTGCGTCAGATAGAGTTCGCAGCACATACGAAACAGGCTGCTCAAGGAAGATGATATGCCAGAGCATCTCAAAGACCGACCCTGCCGCAAAGTTATCCATATCGGTCGCCAAAGCCCAGTCGCGTATTCGCACATAGTCATCTCGTGGCCGTTCCCGGATCCGGTCCCTTGTTAGTACAAATTGACCACAACAGACCCCACCGATCTCGGTAGGGACCTGGTCCCGCGGCACGGAGAACATGTCCATGTAGATTGAGGTGAAGTTGCGATACACCACGTTATGATTCGACTCCATGGCTGGATCAAAGGGGCGCACGGCCACGGGACATCCTGGGCGGTGCTCACAGCGGAGATTCGCATACCCAGCCTTGTTCACGGCGTCCAGGCTGAGTTTTTGGAGCAGGGAAGATGAAGCCATGTCGCCAACATCGTTATGCCACTGAGTGGCGGAGGCATGCATGAAAGCCGTAACATCCGCAAGGTAGTCGTAGTGTTCAATGATGTGGGTCAGGTATGCCATGCCCTCGCGGGCCTTGTTTGCCGGGATAGGACGGTATCCAGGCTCTTTGTCGGAGGTGTAGACGTAAGGTTTCCAACTTTCCAACTAGTGAGCATACCGTGACGATAATCCGACCGGGAGGAATTGAGTCTAGTACACTTACTGGGGCTTGAGAGCGTAGGCCCAGGCGACATCCTCAGAGCTAGTTTTGGCCAGAACCAGTGCGTTCGGTTTGCGCCTGGCCGGATGTTTATCAACTCGACCTGCATAGCGTTAGCTACCCTGGTGATATCAATTCCGAGCTTGGAG